TCAGAAGTTGGGATATAGTTTTTACTTCTGTACAACATTGACAAAGAACATGTTAAGTAACGTGTGGGGGAAATCCCAGATGTACAGCTGAGCTGCCTCAGTTGACATGAATAGTAGTTAAATATAATCTGAAATTAGCTACATTGAATTTGGTTTGAATATATCTCTTGATAAAAACATCTATGGCTACACGAGTTATTTATCTTAGTAAAGAACATACATGTGATGATAACCTAGTTTAAATATGGACCACTTTGTGATTTTAGTAACTGTGTTAACTGTGTATTACATTGTCAACCACATACATTTGGATTTCAGTCTCGAAGGACAAACAGATGGTGAGTCATTATTATGTAAAGTAAAAATGAGTGGGCCCAGTATAAATCTTTGTAGAACAAAAGTGGACAAGCAGAGGGCAAGTGATTGACAATTATGTTCTCAGACAAATGAAGACCGATTTGAGAGCTGATTCTATTCACTATTTTCTACTTAAAAAGTAGAGAAAAAGTAAAGCTAATAGAGAGTGTCAAATGCCTTCCCGAGATCAAGAAACAACTTTGCTAACACCACCTTTTTTATCCAACTGAGATTTAACTTATCCTGAGAACAAACGAGTGCCTGTCTCGCTTTCTCTAACACCTCCAGTTCAGGGATTGTCAGCCTTTTCTTAGTAACTTAGAGCAAGTGTGGCTTTTAAATGGCTCTTGAGCAGCGGGTAGGTGTTTTGTATTTCGTTCACAATGAGCGTGTGTCTACTTACTCTTTGACATGCTTGCGGCAGGGCACAGAGTTTCTCATGCAGGTGCCGGTGAGGATGTCCACATTGTCGACAATGACGAAAGGTTTCTCCTCCAGGGTGACGATGGAGAGGTGGTTTTCATCTGCATCCTCATCCCCGTAGGAGTTATACCTCGGCCACACTGGGAACATCAACGACAACGTCCCGTTCTCCCAACGGCCCATCTGTGTGTGCGCAGAACACAATCAGCGATAAGCCATCTTAATTAAAGTGTTTTGACTTTTTAATTTCAGTGCTCCTTTATAAAAACAGCTATCTTCATTTCTTACCTTCTCCCACTTCCTTTCACTATTCAGGACGATGACAACCAATTTGGGGTTGGCCTGGTAACCATCTGGAGTAAAGGATAAGTCTCGGCCATCGTTCCATACATGCATCATGTGTCTGAAACACATGGGAAAAAAACGAGAGAGTAGGAAGCTGTTATTTGCATTTGTTTGTTGCATCTGTTTGAGTGTTTGTGAGTATGTGTGCACAAGAGCAGATACATTTGAAATAACAAGTTAAGCACTCTGTAATCACTGCAAGAGTATACTCTTCAAATCAATGCTGTCTTCACCCACTGTGTGTGCATGCATGCCTAAGTGTGTGTGTGTGTGTGTGTGTATGTGTGTGCAGCTATTTGTGTGTAGGAGGTGGAAGAGTCAGAGGCTACATATCTCTCCCATCAACATTCTGCATTGATTTCTCCACAGATATACGCCTGAAAGACAAGCCACTGGTGCTACAAGGCTGCCCTCACTCTCTTACTCACTACAGTTATCTTACATACGCAAACAGATCGCTTTGCTAAAACATTTACACACTCGCTAAACTGAAGCAGTAGAGAGGAGTAAATGAACCAGTATCGCACACACTGATATAGGATTAAGAATACACTCACTCCAGTAAAAACAATTTTCAGAAGGCGAGGATGTTCTGAGAGTTAGGACTGAGATAATAGCATGAATTCCCAGTGGGGAACAGGAGGGCTGTCTAAGGAAGTTTACTAAGAAGACCAAATCACAAGAGGGACAGCAGCTGCCCAAAACAGACAACAGTTTTTCTTCTATGCCTTGTGTTCTGTTTTTATTAGAAATAGTGTGATTCATTTTGACAAACAGAGTTGGTTGGACGATGCTATATGTTTTAAATATTATCTGACTGAAATAGAATATGACAAAAGCCAACAACTTCCAACTATACATCTGATTTACAGACATTTTTTTATTATTTTCTTTTTATTATTATCTTTTTATATTATTATTTATTATTTACTGGTAAGTTTTATACAAGTCATTTAATCGATGCATTCAAATATGCTTTAGGTATGCAGAGATTCCCAGCCTCATTATTTTACAACAAGGAGTTAAAAAGGAAGCTAAAACACAGTCCTGTTTGGTTTTTTTGTGAGCAGGACAGGGTGCAAGGCCATGAAACATTCATGTATAAACTCAAATATTGCAACAGAAAGTCAAAATGCATAAAGGGAATGGTTTGAGTGCTGCTTAGCATGCGCCCTGCAGGTGAAAACTATGATAATTACACTCCAATTCAAACAGGTGGGATTTTATGTTGTCTCATCTGCAGGAGAGGTATTAAAGTCGTCACATATAAATATTGTTGGACAGTGGATTAGTGATAGGTACATTAATCAACTGTTTTTTACAAAGACTTGGGAACAGGCTTGTGCTCTTTCAAAGCCGGCTCCACTCACCCTTAGTAAAGAGTAAATAAAAGGTCCCTGTCTCCCTCGCATGCAGGCTCTGCGAAAATACCAAACAGCTCTGCCGTGGGTATAGAGTCTCTCAGCAAACACAAATAATTACATGTAAACCTACAGAGATACACATAAGAGACACTTCCATGCTTTATAATTGAACCCGCATTTGTCATTATGGATTACATTGCTTTTAGCTATTAGTGACATTTCAAGGCAAATATATATTTTCGTGTTTGAAAAATGTTCATGGTGCAGCAGGTGATGCCCTTGTCACAGTGCATTGCCACAGCTGAATACATATAGCGGAAACACTGTTGCAGTCTATTCTGGGAAACCGCTGTCTCCTCCTATTTCGAGTTTGTTACCATTTTTTGGAAAAAGATTTCGATCTAAAAGGATGAGGCTCGGGTGTTTTGAGGCATGTAAAACAGGCTGATTATACATTGTATGTTCATGTTTATATTCATATATATTCATATACACATGTATATTCATGTCATTTTGTGATCCCATGTGATGTGAACAAAAAAATGCACAGCTGCATTACATTTCAATGATTTTTAAATTACTTTATGCAAAATCATTTGCATTAATAAAAAAAAATCAATGGGAGGTGTTAATAGGAGCAACAATAGCAGCTGCTGCTTCCCAGAAATATAAAAAATACCTGCCATTGTAAATACCATCTTTGAAATGTGGGTCCCTTTACTACTATGTGTGGAACACTTTTCTATTATTGAAGTACTCGGCCATTGTGTGAGCACTTTCTAAAAGTATGAATAAAGAAGGAAGGGAGGCTCTTCCCAAATTCTGTATTATGGCAAGGAGCATCTTTTCAGAAAAAAAGTGACAGCTTAGGGGTTTGCATGGTACAGTGGTTCCATCAAATAGAATAACCTTTTGAAATTTACAACAAGGAAAAACCTCAATAAAAACTCTTGTTGAGACAAAATACGGTGAACCACAGTCTTAGACATTAATGCCTGTCAGGCAAGAATGACAGGGGATCCGACCGGGTTGATAGTGTCTTTTAAGTGGCAGATTATGTTGTCCTATTCCTCTCCACCTCACGTTGTTTATATCCACACTGCGGCAAGATTGTATCTAGACTAATGTATGCAGAAATCTGATCACAGCCTCACCACTTCCAAATCAGGGTAGTGAAATCCAACCTGTCAGTTTATTATCACAAAAATTGGCTGCAGTTGTTTTGACAAATATGTAAATTCTATCTAATAAGTTAGTAAGACAAATGAGGTACCTCTGACAGAAAGAAAAAAGATTGTTCCGCAAAAGGTTTGAGCTCTTATTGAGGTCTGAGTTATATTGGATCAACCTGTCAACAACGGCGGTATTGTATATGCTTTGATATATACTGTAATGGGCTAATAAGAGAGAAAAATGGGACAATAAAGCCATAATGGTGAAAATCACACTGTGTGCTCTCATTCTAATGAGGCAACTCATAAGTCACCATATATGTGCAGAGCCTGGCAACCTGACCTTCATGTTTTCAGCCAGTTTTATACAGATTTCTGAATTAATAATCATATTTTAGCCACTGCATGCCTGATTTTCAACATGTAGTCACAAAATCACACCACAAAAACCTGACAAACAAAAGCAATATGATTAACAGATTCTGTATCTGTGCAGATGCAATTGAGGATGTTCAGTATGAAGGCTGTGCTTGCATGTGCGTGCCCATTTGTCCCCCGCTTCTGCTTTGAAGGATTTTACTGTTTCCCCATCACAGAGACTTCAGAGAAGAGTACATGCACACACACATACTGGCATGTGCATGTACAGATACACCTACCAACACATCTGTGCCACCCACAGAGCCACATAACAAGAAAAAGGAGAGAAAGAACAAAGCTAGTAAAAGCTGCTTTAATCCTGACTTAATGACAGTGAATTCACTCATGTGAAGCAAAGAAATACACATAAATACATACGTATACTAGGCTCTGGGTAACACAGGGCAGCAACAACATGGAGGTCTGCATGAAGTTCAACTTATTGTCTCTCGACTGAGACAGCAGAATGAGCTCATGCACCGAGCAACCATGTACACAAGAGCTAATAGTGGTAAATGTCATTAGACATCACAGTGTTTTACAGTGCTGTCATCTCTGCTTCCTCTCTCGCTTCCACCTTTCTCATTAGTACATTAAAAAGAGTTATGTAAGACTGCTCAATCCTCAGCTACAAAGACAGACAGAGTTATGCAAGTCCCTAGACCTTGATCTCCACACACTCACACACACACAGACACACACACACACACACCTGCGCAGGGCACTAGGTGGGAGCTTCCCTGGGCTCCTGTCTGACGGTGTGCTGTAGCAGCTGCTCTGGGCTTCTGGCAGCTCCCCCTTCTCTCGCAGCATGGAGGTGGCTGCAAAGGAAATGATGCCCACCCCATCCCGTACCCGCGAATCCAGCGGGTACTCCCAGTCATCATAGGACACGGAGATCATACCCAGGGGAAACATCTGAGAGTAAAGGAGAGGAGATCTGAGTAGTGGCACATATGGTTTGTAAAATTCAATTTGACTTCAATTTGACACATCCATATGTATCTTTCAAAGGTGTCAACCAGATGATTTATTGGTTCCATGTGTCTTCCTGAAATAATTCATATCTCACTATTAAATAGTCTGAGCTGGCTGTATGTCCACAAACTAAATTCTTTCACTCACTCAGGTATTGCCTGCGCCTTAAAACTGTCAAAATAAAACAATTGGGAAACTAAATAGCTCAGCAGAGTTTATCTCTCTAAACCAGACTGAGCTAAACATCAAAAAAACGCCAGCCCACTAGTCTGTCAATCTACCCTACAATACTTTCTTTTTACATTTTAATTTGGCACTGTAGAATCAGATCTTTTGCTAAGAAAGAAAACAGAAGCATAAAAACCGACACAAATAGGAACTTTGAGTCGAGCAGGATGATGGACAAGGAAAGGAGGAGAATAAACATATGAGAGGCTTTCAGAAAAGGTAAGCAAACATTGGATATGTTTCCATTCTTAATGTGAGGGAAACATTTGAGCTTTGAAATATTTATACATATTTATATGATATTTGGAAAAAAGCTGCCTTGCTGTCCTATATTTTGAGAGTGAATGTGTATGTAATGCTGTCAAACAACCTATTGAGGGGCTGAGCAAATGTTTTTAGGTAGAGAACAATGTAAACAAAGCAGTAAACTCAAATAATGTACTAAAAATATGATATGATGTTTATGCTTAAGGTCATGCCTTAAGGGCGACATTTTGGCAAATATGTTTATTTGCTTTCTGGTTAGAGGTGAAGATTTAGACCACTCGTATCTGTCTGTGAAATATGAGTCCAGCAGTCTTATAGCTTATAGCTTAGCACAAAGACATGGAGACATGGGGAAACAGCTAGTTTAGCTCAGTCCCATCATATTTATAATCTCATTAGTTTAATCTAAACAAAAAGTGTAAAAAAAACGGGTGGTTGCTGTATTATTTGTGGCGGGAAGCAGCAATTACCAGGAATCTATGCTGGTTAAGTGGCAAATAGTCCACTACATAATCCAGTGTAAAATGACAAATTGTAATTTTTACACACTAAGCAAACAAGATATATTGTGTTCCTTAGTGAGCTTTAAAGATGCTGGTACATTTTTTCAGACTGGGCCAGGATAGCTGTTCTTTTTCTACATCCTAAACAACCGGTAGCTATGTGTGTAGCTTCATATTTCCCAGACTGATATCAACTCTAACTCTCACCAAGGAAGCAAATAAGCATTTGTTGCTGCTCATATAAGGAATAAAGTAGATGAGAAATACATGAGATGTAGTAAATAACCTGCAACAACCTGGAATCAAAAACACTGCTTTTCAAACCACTCAAAAGTGGCCACCTGTTACAACATATGGGGCCTCACTACCTCTGGGGTAAAGTCTGGGTTCCCAGTGGTGAGACTGGACACAATCCAAATGTAACCGGCTCCTATCAGGCCCAAGGACCGAGCTTCCTCGAGTATATACCTGTCGAGGAGTAGAATCAGAGTTTATAAAGATTCACTACAGAAATCTGGCTGTGTATGACAGAGAGACAGAAACAACTAAAGAAAATTGAAGACGCAAACACTCACAAAGCCTCATCCTTGGAGCAGTACAGCAGTATAACAGGACTCTGGATCCTCTTGAGGGCAATGTGTGATTTAGAGTTTGGGTCGCCATCTACAGCATCTAGAGTCACCACACTCTGCAGGTCCCAGCGCACAAAGCTGTAACAATACACCATTAAATAATACAAGGTACTTAATCTTGTCAGCTGCCGTAAATAAAGGTTAAGGATGAAAACAGTGTGTGTGTGGGTGTGTGTGTAAAAGTGAGGGAGCGAATTCATTACCTGTGATCCACAGTTATCTTCAGTGTGCTGATGAAGTCCTGGTACCCGGGGAACTTGGAAGTGACGATAGAAAAAACATGCCAGTCATACTCCTCCATGATGGAAAGCATGAGCAGAGCCTCCTGCTGCAGAGCCGCGCCGAACTGGAAGAACGTGGACTTCTCATCCTGCAACGACACACAGGCCAGCAGCAGAGACAGTCAGCAGATTTGTCTGAGGAACTGAATTAATTGCAACAAAGAAAAAAAAAGAAACAAGAGCTGGAATGAACAAGTTCATCAGACTCAAAAACCCGCTAGAATTAAAACCATTTTCAATTTGGCAATCAGTGAGTCAGACCGGGAGAGTGACGGAGATAAGAGAGTGTAAGTTTTAGACAATCGAACGAGGAGAGAGGGAAAATGGGAAAGAGAGGAAGAGGCAGAGATACTGAGACAGCGAGATTCAGTCGACAAATGAGACCACACTGCAAGAGTGAATGCTGGCAACAGGGGGGCGCCTAATGGTCGGAGATAACTGCCCCATAACTCACAGGTTTGATTCACTTCAACCCTCAGAAGCCAATATAACAACAGCCGTGCATTGTCCCGAAAGCTAATTGAGTCATATACTGACGCTCATTTAGTATGGTGCTGTATAAATGAACAGGCTCAATGGTTCAAATGTAACAGAAAAAAAATATCTGACTCATTAATGCCAAACATAATATTTCTGCGGTACACTACCTGCGAAAGATATGGTGTCGTTTTAAAGTCTCATTTGAAGTCAGAGGATGCCCTCGGTAAACTGTGTCTCCAAATTGTACAGCATTCATTCAAAAGGCCATGTACAGTTAAATCATTTTGTCTCAGTATTGGGAAGGAAACAGAGGGTCACTGTGGCAGCAGTAAGCATTACCAAAACCAAAGCAGCTATTAAACAGACTGAAACCCAAAGTGAGTGTGAAATAAGTTGCTAATGATTGCAGAATGTATGTTTGCATAAAGTGTAAGCTGAGTTTCCCCCTGGGAACACAACAAATAGACAGCAACACAGCCCATCCACCAGAGAGAAGAAGAGCGAGAGGGAGGAGGAGTAGACTGGGAGAAAAAGAAAAGGCCGAGGGGGGAAGAATAAGAAGCAGACAAATTCTCCCGTCTTGTGAGTGAGATTGAGATAGCTGCTGCAGAAAGAGGTGGAAAAGGAGTGAGCGTCTTGGGAGGAAAACTAAGGGAGACACAAACCTCCTCACAAGGTCCCTCTTTTACACACACCTGTGCACACACACACAACACACACAGAGACCACAAGCACACATACATGCTCTTCCACCTTTTCCACAGAGGGCATCAAAGAACGTGACACATTAAACATCAAAGCCCTCATGAACACACATGGAGAATCAGAAGTCATCTCCTGTGTCTCTGCCCCCATCAGCACCACCTTCATGTTCACCTTGCGTGTGTGTGTATATATATATTCATATATATATATATATATACAGTATATATATGTGTGTGTGTGTTTGCACGTAAACCTATATTGTGTATCTCGTCGTTTTGCCCTTTAGTTTAACAAAAAGCTCTTAGCTCTGGCCATCATACACATAAAGCAGGCCCCGCAGAGATTTAACTCCCCTCCCTCCACTGCTACAAAAAAGGGAGAAAAATAGGAAGGAGAAAGGATGAAATTGTACTTCAAAAAGATCTATCTGACTGTTTCCATCTCTCTCTCTCTGTGAGTGTGTGTGTGTGTGTGTGTGTGTATCTGACTGTGGGTGTGTGTGGCTTTATAGTTTTCTCAGGTTTAGCAAGAGCACAAAAAAAGCAAAGAAAAATCTCCCTCTGTGCGGCAACAGGCACATCCTCAGTTTTGCCCAGATAACACCAACACACAAGCACAGATACTCACACGCACAAACACCCACTCACACCCTCGCACATACAGTACAAGTGTACCACTGACAACTGACTACAAATCAGTGCAGCAAACAATCATTCCATTTACCAATTTATCAGTCAATAAAACATCTATAATGTGGGTCATATTTTTGTAGTTTTAACCATAACTGGTTATCATTAAATTGCACTCTTCAAAGTAGTTGTTGAGACTGAAGAAAACAGGCACATCACCACATTGTAAAAAAGTCAAATGAGATCATCTGAGTAGATGAGACGGGTAATAAACAACAGTTTACCCAGATTATAAACCACAGAGTGAGTGCACATGAATACAGTGACGGAGGCTGGACGACTGAGCAGGCTGTTGCTGTGACTTTCTATCAAGTCAGATACAATGTGCAAGGCCAGCCAATTTGCAGATAGGGATGCACAATTAATCAAAATATTATTAAAATCATAAATGGTGCAATATGCAAATCTCAAAAACTGCAATATTTTGATAAAAGTAAAATGTGTGACAGAACATTATAATGAAGCAGTGTTGCAGAGATGCCCCGGCCTGCAATTCTTGTTATCCAGAAAACATGTTTGTTCGGTACAGACAAATGTCATCTCATCATGATTTTAATATTTTTTCAGTGAAAATGGAAATCGTTTCTCCCTAATAGTGAATCATAGCGCGCTCATAATATCTGTCAAAATATTCACTGTGATTTGTTTTTTTTACCATATCGTGCAGCCATAGTCACAGAGTATCTGCGCTTTGCTTGGGTGAGGATTCAAGGGCAATTTCAAGGTGCATTAGGTCAGAGAATGGTGAGGAAAGGTTTTCTGATATAACTAGTAGCTGTTTTTAAGACTAGTGGAGCTACAGTAGAGGGTGATGGTTGGACAACTGAGCGGGCTGTGGCATTCAGATGAAACTGCCTGTCAAGCCAATGTAGGTTAGCCTCACAGTACAATGTAGATATAAGACCGGGTCATGCCACAGATTATCTGCTCTTTGCCTGGGTGACGGTAGGATTTAAAGGCATCTTAAATACACGTTAGGTCAGGGATAAAGAAGGGTGTCATCAGGGGGCCCAGTAGATTTATGGAAGCACAGCCTGAAACCCACAGCATTGCCTGGTGATAATTCAAAACATACTGGGCTTCCATAGGGTCACCCAACTATTGTATATTTATAACAAATGTCACTTTTTCTAATTGCACGGGAAAACTGCGTGCGCACATGTATGTCAAAGATGAACCAGGAAGTCGGTCTGTAAACTGTGACTGACAGTTTGAGTCGTAATTTAGTTTTCTCTTCAAAATAAGTTTGGCTTACCTGAATGTTTGTTTAAAACCTGGACAGTGCTATAATATGATGAACCAGAATTATCCCTTTGGGCCATTTATCAAGTAGAAATGCCAAATATTTGCTGGTTCTCAAATATGATGATTTGTTGCTCTTTTTTGCTGCCATAGCCTGGGGTATTTTTTTATAATTGGACAAAAGAAGTTTTTGTTAAATGTCACCCTGAGCTCTGGGGACTTATTGTGGGATATTTTTTGCATTATACATTAATTAATACAAAAATGTATTCATGAATCGATAACGAAAATAATTATTTACAGCTTTAATACGAATACACACACTGTGTTACCTTCATCTAAGACTGAGCCCACTGAGGAGAACACTGAAAGAACAAAAGACGTGTTAAAAAGTCAAAAATGCCACAATTCAAAATACAAACATAAGCCACTAAAAATTGCTCAATAAAAACACAAACTCTTGCTGATGGAAAACAATAAATAGATTCTGAACTTGTTTTTAACCAAGTAAACCAACAAACCCTTCTCATAAAGACTGGAATGCCTAATCCTTAATTTTATAATTCACACTTAATCATATGAGCACACACACATACATAGTGGCCCTTTACTGAAGACACTGTGGATGTGGGGCTACATGTGATACATGTTCATAACATGCTTTTAACGTGTTTAATATTTACACCTGTCATTGTGGTTTAACCAAGACACTTCCTTTTAAATACCTTCACAATCTGGGGAGCAGAGGGGAGACGAGGATGGAGGGTAAGTGGAGAATTTAGAATGAATGAGGTGAACGTCTTTTTAGAGGACTGAGGGGTGAAAGGAGAAGATGATAGTAGCTGGTGGTTGCTGAATTATAAAGGATAAAAAGAGACGCTGACACAGACCTGCATCTTCTCATCAAATCACACAAGTCCATCAAGAAGCTTACATATGAATAATGCACAAACACACGCACTCACGCACACACACACACACACACACACACACCGCACAAATGTATTTCCACATTATAACCCACATACCTAGAGATTTACCAATGACATCATGCATCAATTATACAAATACAGTGAACTTCATGTACAGTTTCACATCCACCCACATGCATGTACACAGCACACACACACACACACACACACACACACATCTGTACATGCACAAAGGTCCCTCAAAATATATCTTTACTCGTGAGCCAGCACACCAATAAATAATACACCACCAAAACCAAGACAGTATCTCACTTTTTCTCTTTCCCCCTCACACTCACACACACACACA